GAGGAGTGACTTACTACCAATTATGTGTCAATTTTATAGTAGGTGTGATGTGGTGATGAGAAGAATGTATATTCTGTGGATTTGGGGTGGAGAGTTCTGTAAATGTCTATTAGGTTTGCTTGGTCCAGGTCTGAGTTCAAGTCCTGGATATTCTTGTTAATTTTCTGTCTCATTGATCCATCTCATATTGACAATGGGGTGTTAAAGTCTCCCACTATTATTGTGTGGGAGTGTAATTCTCTTTGTAAGTCATTACAAACTTGCCTTATGCATCTGGATGCTCCTGTATTGGGTGCATATATATTTAGGATCATTAGCATTTATTGTTGCATAGATCCTTTTACCATTATGTAATGTCCTTCTTTGTCTCTTTTGATCTTTGTTGGTTTGAAGTCTATTTTTTCAGAGATGAGAATTGCAACTCTTCTTTTTTTTGCTCTCCATTTGCTTGGTAAATCTTCCTCCATCCCTTTATTTTGAGCCTTTGTGTATCTTGGCATGTGAGATGGGTTTGCTGGATACAGCACACCAATTGGTTTTGGCTTTTTATCCAATTTGCCAGTCTGTGTCTTTTGATTGGGGCATTTAGCCCATTTACATTTAGGGTTAATATTGTTATGTTTGAATTTGATCCTGCCGTTTTGATGCTAGCTGGCTGTTTTGCCCATTAGGTGATGCAGTTTTTCATTGTGTTGATGCTCTTTACCATTTGGTATGTTTTTGGAGTGGCTGGCACTCGTTGTTCCTTTTCATGTTTAGTGCCTCTTTCAGGAGCTCTTGTAAAGCAGGCCTGGTGGTGATGAAATCTCTAAATTTTTCCTTCACTTATGAAGCTTAGTTTGGCTGGATACGAAATTCTGGGTTGAAAGTTCTTTTCTTTAAGGATGTTGAATATTGGTCCCCACTCTCTTCTGGCTTGTAGGGTTTCTGCTGAGTGATCTGCTGTGAGTCTGATGGGTTTCCCTTTGTGGGTAACCCGACCTTTCTGTCTGGCTGCCCTTAGCATTTTCTCCTTCATTTCAACCCTGGTGAATCTAATGATTATGTGTCTTGGGGTTGCTCTTCTTGAGGAATATCTTTGTGGTGTTCTCTGTACTTCCTGGACTTGAATATTTACCTGCCTTGCTAGGTTGGAGACTTTTTCCTGGATAATATCCTGAAGAGTATTTTCCAGCTTGGATTCATTCTCTCCATCACATTCAGGTACACCTATCAAACGTAGATTAGGTCTTTTCACATAGTCCCATATTTCTTGGAGACTTTGTTCATTCCTTTTTACTCTCTTTTCTCTAATCTTGCCTTCTCGTTTTATTTCATTGAGTTGGTCTTTGACCTCTGATATCTTTTCTTCTGCTTGGTCAATTCGGCCATTGAAACTAGTGTATGCTTCACTAAGTTCTCGTGTTGTGTTTTTCAGCTCCATCAATTCACTTATATTCCTCTCTAAGTTGTTTATTCTCATTAGCATTTTGTCAAATCTTTTTTCAATGTTCTTAGTTTCTTTGCATTGGGTTAGAACATGTTCTTTTAGCTCACAGAAGTTTCTTATTATCCCCCTTCTGAAGCTTGATTCTGTCAATTCATCACAATCATTCTTCATCCCACTTGTTCCCTTGCTGGTGAGGAGTTGTGATTCCTTGTAAGAGGAGAGTCGTTCTGGTTTCGGGTGTTTTCATCCTTTTTGCACTGGTTTCTTCCCATCTTTGTGACTTTCTCCACCTGTCATTTTTGCAGTTGTTGACTTTCAGATTGGGTCTCTGAGTGGACATCCAGTTTGTTGATGATGAAGTTATTTCTTTCTGTTTCTTAGTTTTCCTTCTAACAGTCTGGCCCCTCTGCTGTAGGACTGCTAAGGTCCACTCCAGGCCCTGCTTGCCTGGGGATCACCTGCAGCAGCTGCAGAACTGTAAGGGTTGCTGCCAATTTCTTCTGCTATCTTTGTCCCAGAAGAATACCAGGCAGATGTCAGTCTGAGCTCTCCTTTATTAGGTGACTCTTTGCATATATGGGGGTCATGGAGCTGCTTGAGGAGACAGTCTGTCCTTTTTAGGAGCTCAAGTGCTGAGCTGTGAGCTCCATTGTTCATTCAGAGCTGCTGGGCATGAATGTTTAAGTCTGCTGCAGCAGAACTCATAAACCCCCTTTTTTTCCCCCAGGTGCTCTGTCCCTGGGAGTTAGGGCTTTATTTATGAGCTTCTGTTGTGCTTCTTCCTTTTTTCAGGGCTGCCCTGCCCAGCGAGGAGGCAGCCTAGTCAGTCTGCCTGCAGAGGCTTTGCTGAGCTGCTCTGGGCTCTGCCCAGCTGCCGTGTGAACTTCCCTGCAGTCCTGTTTATACAGATGTAGTTAGAACTGCCTCTGCAATGGCAGCCCACCTCTATAATGGCAGGCTGCCTCGGCAATGGCAGGCTGCTTCAGCAATGGCAAACTACCTCTGTAGGTGTGAACTGCCTTGGTAATGGTGGACACCCCTCCCACACAAAGCTGGACCATCCTGGGTTCAACTGTGCTTGCTGTGACACTCTCAATCCAGAGTGTTTCTCGTTGTTTTTTTGTGGGGGTAGGACCAGGCAAGCCTGATCACCTGGGTCCCTGCCTTAGAGCCCTTTTTTTTTTGGTTGAATGGTGGACTCTGTCTCCCAGGTGTTCCAGTCTCCTGTCAAAAAGGCATCAGAATCTGTGTGATTTCCCGTGAAGCAACCCACTGCACCAGCTGTAACAGCCACGCTGAGATTTGTGGCATTATTTTTTCCCGGGAATCTCCTGGCCTGGCTCCCTGTTTCAGTCCCCTTTTAATCAGATGAATGGGTGACTCTGTCTCCCAGGATCTCCAATTGCCAGCTAAAACAGTGCCCGGACCCATGTATTTTGTATGGAGAACTGTCATGCCAGGGCTCCAGCAAAACAGCTGCACTCAAGAAAACAGCCACACCAGCCAAACAGCCACACCGGCCAAAATAACTGTGCCGTCCAAACCAGCCATGCTGGTGACCCTTGGGGCTCCTCTGCCTGGGAATCTCCTGGTCTGAGAGCAATAAAAATCCATCTAGAAATGCGGCATCCACTCACCCTCCACACTTTCACTGGGAGCGGCAATCCTGAGCCACTCCTAATTGGCCATCTTGGATCCCCTCTCTCTATATCTAGTTTTTATATAACACTTTGTATATTCAACAATTTTTATATTCTGGATATCAATCCTTTATCAGACATCGTATCTGTAAATATTTTTTTCCCATTCTATGGGTTGTATATTTGAATATACAAAAAAATGTCTATTTGAATATAAACTTGTTAAGTGCTATAGTTTCAACTTTTACAATTAGGCTTTAATCTATCTTGAGTTAATTTTTGTATATGGTGTGAGGTAGGGCATCCATTTAATTCTTTTACATGTGGATATTCAACTGTCACAGAACCATTTATTGAAAAGACTATTCTTTTTCCCATTGAGTTATTTACGCACCCTTGTTGACAATCAATTGACTGAAAATTTGAAGGTCTGTTTCTGGACTCTCAGTTATATTCCATTGGTCTATGTATCATTCCTTATGCTAGCAACACACTATCTTGATTACTATAACTTTATGGTAAGTTTTGGTATCAGGAATTTGAGTCTTCCAACTTTGTTCTTCTTTTTCAAGATTATTTTGGCTATTCTGAGTCTCTTGCATTTCCATATAAATTCTAGGATGATTTTATCAATGTCTGCAAAGAACCCAACTGGAATTTTGATGGAAATTGCACTGAATGACTCTATAGATCATTTTGGGTGTGTTGCCATCTTAATAATATTAGATGTTCTGATTCTTGAACATGAGGTGTCTTTCCATTTACTTAGGTTTTCTTTAACTTTTTTTAACAGTGTTTTGTAGTCTTCAGAGCATTTAAGTTTTGTACTTCTTTCGTTAAATATATACCCAAGTATTCCATTCTTTCTGATACTATTATAAGGGACAGCTCTTGCTCTTTTTGCTGTACTAAGAAGTACTTCCTTGCTAATGGCTCTATCTTACACAGATATTTCAGTTATGTAGGACTTTTAGGCTTCTGGTTAAGCCTTAGCTATTTTACAATTAATCAACTGGAAATAAACTTCATTATAAAGATTTTCTTTTGCCCTGGTCCAATAGTGTAAATTACATGTATACTTTCAAGGAGCTTCCTTTTCATTTTAGAAAATACTTATTTACTTTTGTTTTTCAGTTCAAATTCAATTAACAGGAAAACAAAATGTGGCCCACTATGCTTTCCTCAGACCTATGTTAAACAACCTTACTTTAAAGAAACATAAGGCAGAAGTCCTTTCCCAGCTACTTTCCTTGAAAAAAATTCTACTCCTTGGGCTATTTCTGTATGCCCTTTCAGCAATGCAATCTTTAGTCTCAACATATGTGAATTTCAAGTTTCTTCTTTTTTGGGAATAACTAGAAAAAACATAAAATAGAACTTAGAAATAGAAAAGAGATGGTATAAAAGAAAAGCAGTGGGAATTTTGTAAAGAAACCTTGACAGGAATAAAGGGAGCTGAGGGTAGGGCCTTTTGTGCCTTGAGTAGCACCTGTTTGGTGAGGAGGGGCCTGCTGAGGGGCTCTAGTGCCTAGCAGGGCGTGGCCTGGCTGTGGCTTCAGGCATCAAAATCAGAAAGAAACTGAAATGGGCTTCTTTTTTTGTTAGTGAAAAGTTTCAAATATACCAAATAAAAAAAGATTACATTTTTTTGTCACAATGAACAAACATAATGTACCTGCAGGAACCCACCACGCCAGATTCAACAATCATCAACTCATGTTCAATTTATCTATAAACTCACTAATCTCCACCTCCATCTCTGATTATTTGGAAGCAAATCACAGACGTTACATTATTTCACCTACAAGCCTTTCATTGTGTATGTATATATGCCTCTCTCTCTCTCTCTCTCTCTCTCTCTCTGTGTGTGTGTGTGTGTGTGTGTGTGTGTGTGTGTGTAATTCCTTAACATTATAAGATATTCAACCAGGTTCAAAGTTCTCCATTACCTCATGATTTGTTTCCATGACAGTTTTTTTGGATGAGGTTCTATGTAAGTTTCATGTGTTGTAATTGGTGGATGTTTCCCTTCAAGTTTTTTAATCCATGTTCCAATGAAGATCTAGGCATGAGGGAAATGCACATGAATTATCTGCAACAAAGCAAAATAAATGTGTGTTGTGCCATGGAAATTGTAGGGCAAGGACATTCTTAACCACTTTTAGCAACCAATAACAGTGAGTATAAATTTCACAGGACACAGATTCAAAAGCATAAAAATGTAACTTCATTTTACCAATGTTTAACTTAAGTCCCCCCACCCCACCCCATTCTCTCTCTTGTTTGGAAACTCAATCTAGCCTCAGATAAATTTAGTCAAACCCAGTGAGTTTTCCATTTTAATCACATTCAGAACACACCTTCCCTGATTTCTCCCTGGAGCTGATGCAATCCACTTAAATTCAGCTTCTGCTGGTGGGGAGGAGCTTATCTGAACTCCTATTTCATTTTGACCCTCTACAATGATTGCTATGTAACAAACTGCCACAAACTTGGCAGCCTAAAACAATACTCATTTGTTAGCACAGAGTTCTGTAGGTCAGAAGTTCTGCACAGCATGGCTGGCTTCGCTGCTCATGGGCAAAGTCCTCTGGAGGCTCTGGGGAAAAATCCACTTCCAAGCTCATTCCTGTCATTGGCAGAATTCAATTCTTTTTGGTTGTGAGACTGCAGTCCTGGTTTCCTTGCTAACCGTTAACCGGGAAGTCACCCATGTCTTTGCACATGACACCCCTCCATCTTCAAGCCAGCAAGGCTGCATCAAAGTCTCCATGGGCTTCAAACTTGACTTCCTTATCTGTAACCAGAGGGACAAAACTGCCATTTAAAGGAATCATGTGATTGGGTTAGTTCCCCCTCCCAACAGATCATCTCCCTATCTTTACACCAACTGATAGGGTAATTTAATGATATCTGCAAAATGCTATCACAGCAGATTCTAGATACATGTATATGAGGTACTTGGAACCAGGGTGGGGTGATGGGGTCTCAGAAGTCTGCCTACAACAATCTCCATGAGACACAGCTGCATCTTCAACTGTCCATGCCATACCTTCTGATGGTGGGTCTCCTCATCCAGCCTCAAGTCCGACTGTCTCTTTCTTTCTCTCTCTCTCTCTCTCTCTCTCTCTCTCTCTCTCTCTCTCTCTCTCTCTCCCTCGCTCGCTCTCGCTCTCCCTCCCTCCCAACTAACCTCAGGAAGTGAGAAAGGCAGGACTGGGGGCTGAGAGATAACTTGCCCCTCAGTGTATTGTAAACTACAGCTCCAGCCTTTTCTAAGGGGAGCTAGATGGCCCTTCAAGTTGGCCCAAACTGAGACAAGAAGGCTGGGCTTTTATAACTGGGCCTTTCCTTTTGAATCTATAAGCCAAGAACTTGGCTTTTCAATGTGTGAGCTAGCAAAAAGACTTCATATTTTACAAACCATCCTGCCACAGGAAAGTGGATATTCAAATGCATAGTATCCATTATTATTAATTTAATGTATTCATTGATACTTTTAGCTGTGCATATACTACTTTACTGGGTGTTTTTTATGTCAAGCACAATCATAGGTCACCACAGCCTTGAACTCCTAAGCTCAAGCAATCCTCCTGCTTCAGCCTCCTGAGTAGCCTGGGACTACAGGCTACCACATCTGACTAATTTTTTCATTTTTATTTTTGTAGAGACAAGGTCTTACCATTTTGCCCAGGCTGGTCTCAAACTCCTGGCCTCAAGTGCCTCTTCCACCTTGGCTTCCCAAAGCCAGTATAAAAATTAAATAAGACGGGCAGGGTCAGTGGCTCACACCTGTAACCCCAGCACTCTGAGAGGCTGAGGCAGGTGAATCATCCAAGGTCAGGAGTTCGAGACCAGCATGACCAACATGAAGAAACCTTGTCTCTACTAAAAATACAAAATTAGCCGGGCGAGGTGGTGCATGCCTGTAACCCCAGCTACTCAGGAGGCTGAGGAAGGAGAATTGCTTGAACCCAGGAGGTGGAGGTTGCAGTGAGCCAAGATCGCATCATTGCACTCCAGCCTGGACAACAAGAATGAAACTCCGTCTCAAGAAATAAATAAATAAATAAATAAAAACATACATACATACACACATACATAAGATGGAAACATAGGATAAGGCAGGCATATTGACACATGAAGCCTGATGAATAACTTCTAAATCTCCCCAAGTTAGGCAGTGCAGCTGAGTCAGGATCTGACATTCATGTTCCGTTCTCAGACAAGCTTATAAAGCTACATTTCTACCAGTGAGAGCTACAAATGTGTGGTCTATTCCACAAATGTCCTTTGCCCAGTCTGAATGAAAAGACCAGTATGGAGGTGATAATTCCTCCCAGGGTTGATGACCAAAGAACCAGATTCTGTCTACACTGGATCTGGTCGGACTGGCTGACTTGAACACATCTTGGTTAAGAACAGAGTGAGGCCCAGTTAATGCTGCTGGGAGAAAGTGAGTAGCTTGGCTCCAGGTCAAGATGTATAGGAGTTGGTCATTGAGGAAAACACGTGCCCAACTTATCCAACAGCTGACCTTTGAGAAGACCAAACACGTAAACTGCTCCTGTGGAATTTGAGGAGTTGGCCAGGCTATTTCCAATGCTGTGAAAAATTTCCATTTGATTCTGAATAACTGCTTATAAAACACAGATAAATGGAGCACAGTTTTGTAAATTTTTTTCAATTCTGCCAATAAAGTAAGTCAATTCATTGAAACAATTATTATGCTAAGCTGCTAACCAGCTGACAAACCAGATCAATAGGGTGCTATCTACTCCTCTGACAGCTACATTTGTGTCTTGTCTCTAATTGGTGTTTGATTTAAAACCTAGTTCCAAAAAAAGGTTTTTAGAAGAAATTTACTATCAATATTAATTTGAAATAATAAATTATAAAATTATAATAATTATTGTGGTATAAACATTTAGAAATAGAACAATCGAGCACATTATGCAGTTGAGAAATAGATCCATATGCATACAGAAATTTAGTATAGGATAAGGTTAGCATTTCAATCAGTAGAATAAAAATAGTTTATTCAACAAATGATTAGGGGACAATTATCAAGAAAACAATTTGTAGCCTGGGCAACATAGGGAGACCCCATCTCTACAAAAAAATATTTAAAAATTAGCCAAGCATAGTGGTCCCTGCCTGTAGTTCCAGCTACTCAGGAGGCAGAGATGGGAGGATTGCTTGAATCCTGGAGGTCAATTCTACAGTGAATCATGACAACACCACTGCATTCCAGCCTGTGCAACAGAGCAAGACCCTGTCTCAAAAGAAAGGGAAAAGAAAGAAAAAAATAATTTGAATCTGTAAACAAACTTTTATGTTGGAAAAAAATGGAATCATTCAGGTACTAGAAGAAATCATGAGGTAATTTGTTTTTGTAATAATCTTAGAAAAGGAAGAGCTTTTTATGTATGATACCAAATCCAGAATCTGTATCTTGTGTAATAAAGAATTTACTGGGATTTGTTCCTGGTTCCTGGTTCCTGGGAGGTAATCTCTAACTTCTTGGCATTTTCTGGGCAATAGGAATATCTTTGATATTCATTATATGCCCTGATAGTTTATTCTAACAAGGTGACTCATAGCAGGCTCTTAGCCAGTTTCTAAGAGATGACTCAAGACAGGGGCTGGCCATGACAGAAAGACCAATCATATGATTAGAGTGTTGGAGTTTGACCCAAGCGATATCTGCCCGACCTCCAGGATGGGGAGAGGGGCAACTGGAGACTGAATTCAGAAAATGACTAGTGTGTCAATCAATCATGCACACATATTGAAAACAAACAAAAACTCTGAACTTGAGGCTCAAGTGGGTATTCTGATTGACAGTACTCTGCATATCGTACACACTGATATACTCAGAGGATGATGCATCCCAACTCTGCAGAGAGAAGACACCTGACGCTTCCCATCTAGGACCCTCCCAGACCTCTCCCTATATGTCTCTTTTTTTGATTGGTTCTGATTTGTATAATAAAACCATAATTTTTTAAATTGTATAGCTCTTTCCTTAGTTCTATTAGTCATTCTAGTGATTTATCAAACTTGAGAGGATTGTGGGAACCCCAAACTTGTAAACAGTTGGTCAGAATTGAAGGTGGCCTGGGGACCCCTGAACTTGCAGCTGATGTCTGAAGTGAACTTCAGTCTCTACTAAAACTACAAAAAAATTAGCCGGGCATGGTGGCAGGCACCTGTAATCCCAGCTACATGGGGGCCTGAGGCAGGAGAATCTCTTGAATCAATTAGGTGGAGGTTGCAGTGAGCCAAGATCATGCCATTGGACTCCAGCCTAGGCCACACAGTGAGATTTTGTCTGAAAAAATTTTTTTTAATTAAAAAAATTCTGGGCCGGGCACAGTGGCTCACATCTATAATCCCAGCACTTTGGGAGGCCAAGGCAGGTGGATCACGAGGTCAAGAGATCAAGACCATCCTGGTCAACAAGGTGAAACCCCATCTCTACTAAAAATACAAAAATTAGCTGGGCGTGGTGGTGCGCACCTGTAGTCCCAGCTACTCGGGAGGCTGAGGCAGGAGAATTGCTTGAACCCAGGAAGTGGAGGTTGCGGTGAGCTGAGATCGTGCCATTGCACTCCAGTCTGGGTAACAACAGCGAAACTCCATCTCAAAAAATAAAAAAATTAAAAAAATTTTAAAAACTCAAAATATTACTGCAGAGGCCCTTATACTCAGTGATGTTACTTTTTCTACTTCAATAGAAATTGATCCTATGGATATATTTGCTCGTGTAATATTATTTATATATGAATTATTTATGATGGTATTGTTTCTAATAGTAAAATATTGGAAATATTCTTAATGTCCATAAATAGGAGAGTGGTCAAATAGTTATGCTACAACCACACAATAAAAAGAATTTATATATCTGTAACAATAAATGAAGAGGGAAACTTTTATGTACTTCTTGGAAAATATAGTAAGTGAAAAAGAGGGGCCCAGCAAAGTGGGCATTGTATGCTATTAGTTTGTAAAAAAGAAATTTAAAATATTAAAAATAGCAGTCTTTTAAAAAGGACTGATAAGGTTGATAATATTGAACTCAAAATTTTCTACACAGCCTCCTCAGAAGTGATGTAAAAAGATCAATACAAACTGGGGGAAATGTTTGCCACCCATATCTCTGAAAATGACTAATTTTTCTAACAAAAAAGAATATCAGTACTTCGGAAGGCCAAGGCAGGAGGATCACTTGAGCCCAGGAGTTCAAGACTAGCGTGGGCAACACAGTGAGACCTTTTAGTCTGCTAGGGCTCTTATAACAAGTAACACAGACTGGGTGACTTGAAGAACAGAAATTTTCTCTGAATTCTGAATCCTAGAAATCCAAGAGCAAGGTGTCAGCAAGTTTGGTTTTTCCTGGAGCCTCTCATCTTGGCTTACAGATGGCCATCTTCTCCTTGTATCTTCACATGGTTTTTCCTCTTTGTGTTTGTGTCTTCATCTCCTCCTCTTATGAGGACACAAGTCATATTGGCTTAGGGCCTACTCAGATGACCTCACCATACCTTAATTATCTCTTTAAAGGCCCTATCTCCAAATACAGGACATACTGGGGTTACAGCTTCAGCATAAGAATTTGGGGAATACAAATTCAGTCCATAGCAAGAGGCAATAAGGAAGATAGATAAACAGATCTATGTCTATATATGCATAAAATATCTAGGATATACACAAGCAACCGTTAACGTCATTTGCCTTCAAAGCAGGGCCCTGTATGGCTGGAGGAGAGGAGGGAAGGGGGACATTTTATTATAT